TAAAGACCTCAACATAAAATCAGACACACTAAGCCGCTTAGAAGAAAAAGTGGGGAATACCCTTGTACTCATTGGCACAGGAGACAACCTCCTGAACAGAACACCAACAGCACAGGCTCTAAGAGCAACAATCAATAAATGGGACCTCATGAAATTGGAAAGCTTCTGTAAAGCAAAGGACACTGTCCTCAGAACAAAATAACAGCCTACAGATTGGGAAACGATCTTCACCAACCCTATATCTGACAGAGGACTAATATCCAGTATATATAAAGAACTGAAGAAGTTAAACAGCAAAAAATCAAGTAATCCAATTAAAAAATGGGGTACAGAGCTAAACAGAGAATTCTCTGCAGAGGAATATCAAGTGGCAGGGAAACACTTAAAGAAATGCTCAACCTCATTAGCCATCAGGGAAATGCAAATCAAAACGACCCTAAGATTTCACCTTACACCCATCAGAATGACTAAGATCAAAAACTCAAGAGACAACACATGCTGGAGAAGTTGTGAAGAAAGGGGAACCCTCCTCCACTGCTTTTGGGAATGTAAACTTGTACAACTACTCTGGAAAGCAATTTGGTGCTTTCTCAGACAACTAGGAATAGCGCTTCCTCAAGATCCAGCTATACCACTCCTAGACATATACCCAAAAGAGGCTCAAGTACAGAATAAGGACATCTGCTCAGCCATGTTTGTAGCAGCCTTATTTGTAATAGCCAGAAGCTGTAAACAGCCCCGATGCCTCTCAGTGGAGGAATGGATGCACAAATTGTGATATATCTACACAATGGAATATTACTCAGCAATAAAAAACAGGGAAATCATGAAATTTGTAGATAAATGGTGGGATCTGGAAAAGATTATCCTGAGTGAGCTATCCCAGAAGCAGAAAGATGCACCTGGTATATACTCACTCATATAGACATATAATATAGCATAAACCTACTAAAATCTGTACACTTAAAGAAGCTAATCAAGAGGGAGGACTCTTGCTAAAATGCTCAATTCCTATCCAGAAAGGCAAAGAGGCTGGACATCAGAAGAAGGAGAAAAAAGGGAACAAGTCAGGAGCCTGACATAGAGGACCTCTGAAAAGCTCTGCCCAGCAGACTATCAATGTAGATGCTGAGACTTATGGGCAACCTTTGGGCATAGTGCAGGGAATCTTAGCAAAGAAGTGGGAAACAGTAAGATCTAGAGAGGACAGGAGCTCCACAAGGAGAGCAACAGAACCAAAAAATCTGAGCACAGGGGTCTTTCCTGAGACTGCTATTCCAACCAAGGACTATGCATGGAGATAACTTAAGACTCCTGCCCAGATGTAGCCCATGGCAGTTCAGTATCCAAGTGGGTTCCATTGTAATAGGAACAGGGACTGTCTCTGACATGAACTGATTGGCCTGCTCTTTAATTACCTCCCCCTGAGGGGGAAGCAGTATTACCAGGCCGCAGAAGACAATGCAGCCCCTCCTGATGAGACCTAATTTACTAGGATCAGAAGGAAGGAAAAGAAGTCCTCCCCTACCAGTCGACTTGGGGAGGGGCATGCATGCAGAGGGTAGAAGAAGGGAGGGATTGGGAAGGGAGGAAGGAGAGAACCATAGGGGGGGTACAAAGTGAATAAAGTGTAATTAATAAAGAAAAAAAGTATACTGTGCACATTTCAGTTTTGCTTATGTACAGTGCTGGGTTACAATAGGTACTAATTTGGTTGAAGAAGTAACACATAAATAGGTCTACGAAACTGTTTTGAATCTCTTTGAAAAAAAGAAAAGTCATAGCTGGGCAGTGGTGGTATACACCTTTAATCCCAGCACTCAGGAGACAGAGACAACAGAGCTCTGGGAGTTCAAGGCTAGGATGCTTTCAGGATAGCCAGGGCTATACAGAGAAACCATTTCTTGAAAAACAAACAAACAACAACAACAACAAAAAAAAACAAACAAGCAAACAAATCATAGTTTGTATATAATATTTCCAGCCTTTGACAGCTTGTTCCAATTTTGGTATTTTGACTACGGTACATTTTATTTTTCATCGTACTATAAAGCATTTCAATAATACAAACAAGTACAGAATATAAACCAGCATGCATGTATGTAACCATCAAACAATAGAATTTTTGATATTTTAGCAACTAGTTGTCATTTTTTAAGTGTAAGAAAGTCTTTGCCTATTTAAATTCTTACCCCACTCCTGAGGGAAATCACAAACTGATCTTGCCTTTTATGTGTTTAGGCTTTTAATAAATATATTTAAACAGTATAGTTTTGTGTATTTTTCTTTTTTGGTATCTTTTATCATATTCTAAATTTATACTTAATGTTTTAGAGGGATTAAAAACTTTCTTTACTGTAATATAATTTTTATATTATCGCATAAGAATTTTATTTTTCATCCTGAGGTATTTAAAACAGGTATAACATTTTGTTTTTAAAGACATGGAATTTTAAATATGTATCTGTGTGTAGGTATATATACATTTAGTGCAGGTTCCTTCAGGGGTCAGAAGCATCAGATTCACCTTCATCATTTTATGACAAGTTAATATAATAATGCTACATTATAAAAGTAAGGTCCATGAATCTGTTTAGCAATTAGAGAATTAATGAAACTTAAGGTCAATAATAATGTTACTGAAATGTGATCAAAAAAACTTTTATAACATAAAAAAACACTAGTATATATTATCCTTCCAACTTCCTATTTTATTATACACTATTCAATATTCAAAAAATTTTGAACTTTGTAGCTCACTACTTTCAACCATACAGTTTTCTACATAGTTTTAATTGACTTAAGAGCAGCAATACTAGGTCCAAATCTTCACTCTCCCTTCTCTCTCCCAGCTCTAATCCCCCAGCCTCATCTCAAGCTCTGTAGCAGACTGCCTATTGACATCTCCCTCTCCTCATCATCCCTTTGTCTCACCTCCAACTTCTAAAGAATTCTCTGGGAAGCAGATAAGCCAGGAAAGCAGGCACGCAATCTTTGGATCTCCACTCTCTTTCCTACAAACCCAACCAAGTCTCATCTCAAGCTTTGTGGCCTCTCCTTTCTCTTTGTCCCCATTCCCAGAGAACAAGGCAAATATAGGTGGCACACCCTACTTTTATCCCTCTTGTGGTTCCTCTCAGCATCTGCCATTTCTAGCACATCTCTAACTGTCAGCTCCCAATACCAAGAAACATATTCTAACCAGAAGGACCCCTCAGTGGGTACAATTGGCAGGAATTAAGGGGCATTCCCTACCAGACAATTTCAGCCACTACTTTCCTAAGAACCAGAGAGAACAACAGAAAACAAACAATTGAACACCCACCTGTTGCTATAATGTTCTTGTGGAATGTATACAATTTACCCTTGTTCATTCTAATGCTGATTTCTCTACTCCACTACCAGGTTTCAATAGGGACATTGCATTGTGGTGTTTATTCTAAGCATTACCTGTCTCAAAGTTTATGTAAACATGCCACCATTTGTTCTCTGTATTTTTAATAAAACAACCAGCCAATGCTGTGCAATGGAAAGAATAGGGTGAGACATCCTGGTCCAGAGAGGATAAGAAAGAAATGAGTGGGAGGGGTGAGAGAGCAGAGATCCACAGGACAGGATTTGTAACCACGAGGAGAGATAAACCAGATCTAAGATATGACTAAAAGCAAGTATAATGGATAAAACCTGAATGGTAGAAAAACTACGAGGGCTTGGAGGTTTAGGATGGAGTCATCATTTTCCAGCATTGTGCTCTAGGTTAACTAAATACATCCTAGTCTCTGTGATTTGGGTTTACAGCCGGTTTAGGAATAATCGCTGTTTAACTAAAACATAAATCAATATTAAACATTAATATTCAACAACAAATGGTGTACCAATATATGGTAGAATTTACAGTAATCTAGCAAAAACTTACATAGAAAGTAAAACTATACAGCAGTTTTTCAGTTCTGTTCCTTAAAAACAAAGCAAAAGCAGTTCTTAACTAGGAGCTTGCACATTCCTGAGTAGACAGACCCCCTGCAGATGAGCAAGGCTTCTACACAGCAGGCTGCAGAAAAACAAAAATTGATATATACAAACCCCAGAGAGACAGTTTCTTTAGGTAGAGAAAAAAAGTGGCTCTTTAACAAGGAAGTTTCATAAAGCTAGACATTGCCCGCAAAAGCAGAAAGCAAATCCCTTTGAGACAGGGTTCTTACTGGAGCAAACATTTGTGGACCCAATAACTTCCCAGAATGAGGAAAGGGTCAGAGCAAGGCAGAAAAAAAAATCTCTCCCAGGAAGCAGGAGCCAGAGACAGACTGAAAAGCCTCAAGCATCTGAACTGCTAAGATCTGAAAGGGAAGCTGGGTCTAAGAAAGTAAAGTCCTTAGGGAAAGATTTTGAGATTTAAAAAGATAATTTTCTATGTTGAAAATGGAGAAAGACACAATGGCACAGTGCTTCTGTATACCATTTGAGTTTGTTTCTCTTAGCATTCAAATAATTTTTTCACTAATGATTTCGGTTTTATATATCCTCTTTGGGAAAAATCAGGATAAGAGACTTGGAGAAAGAAGAGACTGACTGAAAAAACAGATGCTAAATTAAAGGCTATAGCACAGAGATTGGGGGAATCTTTGAATCAAAACAGAGAGCCTTCATAGCAATCTAATCGCGTACTTACAATAACACCAAAAGAAGTGGTTCCAGATGAGCTTCTTTATATTTATTTTTACTTTTAAAGTGAAAATATAATTACACAATTTTCCCCTTCTGTCTTCCCTCCAAATCCTTCCCCCTCCTTGCTCTCCCAAGTTCATGTATATACATATTCTAAATATATAAATACAGCCTGCTCAATCCGTATAAAGTTATTTGTATGTATATGATTTCAGGTATGACCACTTGGTATTGGAAACTATTTTGTTCTTTACCAGGGAAGACTATTTCTCTTTAGAAGGATGCTGAAAGCAGAGGTATTAATTAGGTTTTGTAATGATATATCTATTCAGTACCTGAATAGTTGATTGTTGTCATCAAGGTTTTCGGATCCCCATTTTCCTTTAATGTCTTCAATCACATGATTTTTAAGAAATTTTCTCAATAGTTGAATAGTCTGTTGTCTTGTAACTTCAGGACCAAAATTACTATTACTTCTTAATAGATCATAAAGCCAATCTACTGCTTCACCTGCAGTGAAACAATTGCTATATTTTTTTAAATGTTGTCTATGTGTTCTTAAAGGCATTCCTATTCGAAAAGATGTAGTTACTTCATTCCACTGTAAAGAGAAGAAAAATACTTTAAAAGTTTATAGCAAAAATGAAATCTCATTGGTTTGGGTATATAGCAAGTTCCAGGCTAGTTTGGACTACATGAGGCCTTATCTCAAAATAACCAAAAGGAACTTAAAAAAATCATTAGAGAAAGAAAATTCTTTATTTCACAGCCCATTATACTGTAAATATACCTGAAGGGGGAAAAAAAAAAAAAAAACCACCTTACTTGTGCTAAATAAAATCTTATGTCTAGTTTGTGACATCAGCACTAGAACATAAAGGTAGATACAATGAACACATCACTTTTTAATAGAAAAATATATGTTAGGAATCAGATTGCTAACAGTATTTATCAGAATATTACTTATATTCTGTTTATAGAATATTTGTGACACAGTAGTAGTACTGGCATCACAACACTTAATTTACAGCTGAAAACAGTAACTGTAATTCTTTTCCTCCCAAACCTCTTCATTGCTTACATTCAAGAAACTTTTTTGAACTCCTTCACAACCTGTTGTGCTGAGTATACAGTAGTAAAGTGACACATGCCTCTGCACTAAAAGACACCACAGGATACTTTTGAAATGTGATGTAGCACAGTAGATTTTTAAGGTCCCTGGGTGAAACATTTAGGATATGCTTAAGCTTTACTTTTTGTTTATTAATTTTTTGTTCTTTTCCTCTCTGTACCACAATATCGTTATACTAATACTTATCGCAATAAAAAAAAGCCTACTTTATGTCAAGTATTTGTAAGTACTTGGCAAACATTTTTAGTGTTTGTGCTTTCATCTAAGATAGTACATTTTTAATATGACAGGACTACCTCACTATGGTACACTGCAGAACTAAATTCCATCCTTTATATTGATAAACATAACCACCAACTACTTGTTGAGCAGTAGAATATATGTTAAGATCACCATGCCAGAAAGAGGTTCTTTTCTAGTTCTTCCATTTACCATTTATGTTGCTTTAGGAGCGTTCCCTCTTTGAACCTTGGTAAAGTAGGAAGACATTTGTAAGAGGATAATTTGCTTGTTATTCCATAGACTACTACACATTCTTATATACAGTGACTTTTAGAAAATCTCTTAAGGCAGGTATTGTAGCATTGTACCAATGCGGAAACTGAGGCTAGGTGAATCTTTTAATGTCATATAGCAAGAGGTATAGGACAGGAAATCCAAATGCACAGCCTCAGTGACCACTAAAAGTGGTTACTAAAAGCATTCTGCGTTTAGGTTCAACAGTTCTTTCCTAATGCTACTTACAAATTCTACAGTCAGTAAACCAGACTGTCATGCCTGGGCTTCCAGACTTGAAACTTTAAATTTCTTAAATTTGAGAGGTAGCAAATCACACGTAAGACTGGTATTTGAGAAGGGGGGGATATCTGAGGAGTTGTCTCGCAAAGTCAGAAAGTAGTGCAGCTTTGAGGCACTGCACTTTGGATCTGAAGCTGAGCGAGACCAGAGTGGAGTGCAACTCAAAGAAAGGGACATTCTGTGCCATTAGTTTTCCTCAGCACCTTTCTCACAAATCTTGGCGCCTTGAGTCCCTCAGGATATCAGATCCCCGGCTTATCATGGAATCTAGTAATTCTGCGTCTCCTCAGGAAACTTAAATCACTCACACACCCTAGTCCTCCAGATTCCTCTGGAAACCTAGGTCTCTGGTCCCTCTCCTCCATGCTCTTACCAGCTTGGTGGCCCGGTAAGGCCCAAGAGGAGCATCCCGACCCTCCATGCTGTCAGTGCGGAGTTGAGCCCATGGAAGCGGCGGAAACAGCGCTGCAGCAGGAATCTCTGGAGGCCGAAATTGGTGACTGAAAAACTGCCGCGCTGCTGATTTGAATATCTTGGAGTGAAGCTGATTGGCGGCGCCATTGAGTCACATGATGCTGTAAGGAGGGGCGGGCTCTGTGACGTGTGCACAGCCTGTCTGTGCAGCCCAGATCCAAAAGGACTGTGTAGCTCATGAACCGCACATCAGCAAAAACGATTCTTTCTTCCTGATTCTAGGGGCTCTTCAGCAGTGTTAATATAAACCAGGCGGGCTTTATCCGGACGCTGCACCTAAAAGGCTGGCCTCTGTGTGTGAGTGTGTTTCCTTTCAACCTCCCTCCCTGCCTTTCTTTCTCACACACACTTTAGTAATAGCTATGGTTAGGGTCTAAGTGAAATTAATTCGTCTTCATGCATGACTGCAATGGAGTATAAGCACATCTTCCTAAGCACACACACGTAGGACTTGGAAAAGGTATAAAACTTGCTTTCGTTAAGAAAATCTACTGTGAAATCCTTAGATGCCAGTTTATGTTTAAACCACACACTTGAAACACCACTGGCGTATTTAAAAATGTATCTACAACAAGCATCAGTCGTCAAATGACAAACTAAAGTGAACTAAGAGTTGGAGAGACTTGCATAAAGTCTCAGGACCTCTTGCTAGATTTCAGACTTCGTACTTTAATAAGAAATAAGAAGTTAACATTCTGTAAGTATTTGATTGTAGGAATTCTTCAGGACAGCGACTGAGAGGTTGCTTTAGAGTAGTATCCTGAGCCAAACTACTACTATCTTCTTGAAACTATCCATAAATGCTTGCAAAATATCTTCGAAGCTGGGCTACCTGTTGACATTCCTCAGAAAAGAATTGGGTAGGGAGGGTCATTGGACTCTAACTTGAGTATCCAATCAATTCTTCCAGCTGACTGTATTTAATTCTGTGTTAACTATACTTTCAACACCTGTGTGCAATTTGTAGTGTCTCTCTGACTCTCACTTAGGGACCAAGATGCCAGTTCTCATCTACTGTTCCAGAGCCATGTCTGCCTGCCTGCTGCCATGATTCCAAACCATGACGGTATTGAACTCTAACTCCTTGAGATCACAAATCAAAAATAAATTTTCTTTTGTAAGTTGCCTTGGTCTTTGTGTCTTATCAAAGCAATAGAAAAACTAATAAAGACAGTTCTTTTAAATTTTGTTTTGTTTTGGTTGTTAAAGTAGTACCTTAATATTACTTTGTTTTGGTCTCTTTCCTTGCATCTCTTCTTTTTGAATAATTCTAATTTATACATGTGAACATTTTATAAATTCATTCCATACTTAATATATATCTTTAACTTATTTCTATATGTCCATTCACATCAAATAGTTTCCACTCATATCCTCATTCTGTCTACTTTTGCTTTTCATTAGAAGTCTTTTGTCTTTTCTCCTCTGGTGGAGAGTAGAAGATTGGAGGACTGTAGGGACCCTGATTCTTGGGCCATATGATATTCTATTTACCTTTAAGCGGTAAAACCATTTTTTTTATTAGCTTTCAAGTTTGTCTAGTCAGAGCTTATCTGCAGGGAGTGAAATTCATAATGAATTTCGGGCAGTATAAATAAAATTGCTCATGTAGTATGTGCACACCAAATGTTTATATTTGCTCTTATATAATATGATTTTTATGTTTCCCAATTATTATGAATTATTATTATTTAAAAATTAGTTGTCTTGCCAAGTGCACACGTTTAATCCCAGCACTTGGAAGGCAGAGATAGGCAGATCTCTGAGTTTGAGGTCAACTTGGTCTATAGAGTAAGTTCCAGTACAGCCAAGGCTACACAGAGTAACCCTATCCCTACAAACAAGCAAACAAAGAACTTCTCCCCAACCCCCCCCCCAAATCATTTGTCTTTAGTTGTACCATTATTATAGGATCAAGTTAGGGTATGAATGTGTGTGTTAGTTCACATCTCAGTAAAAATTCCTTTGACTTGCTCTTTTACCTATGGTGCTCTTCTACCTATCACCTTCTAGGAAAGGTGATTATCTAAATATAACAATAACATAGAAAGAATTTGCATAGAGTAGTGAGAACTTTATGAAGATTTTGTTGTCCTTGTTGAGAAAAGGCCATCAAAATATTTGGAGATTATCCTGTATGACAGAAATTCATAGAAAAAGGAACATTCTCTCACAAAGTAGTTGATATTTATTTATAGATTTCATAGCATCTTTCTCTTATCAACATTTACTTGCAATACCCAGATTTTCTTTGATCTTCTACTTCTTTTACACTTGCCCATGAGCACTGATACTATATATGTATGTATGTATATATATATATATATACATACATATATATATTTATATGTGTATTTATACTGTATATTATGTTATCATTTACTGCTTTGTTATCTTCATAAAAAGAGATTTATTGGAAAGTTGGAAGGACATCAATCAATGGGTCTGTAAAGGTTTACTCTATGCAAAAATTTGTCTCTTTTAGAAGTTTTTTTCTCTCTTGAACTAAATTTACACTGGGTATGCATTAATGTTTTATGTAAGTTGTGAAGTAAATAAATATATGATGTATTTTCTTAATCACTATGATAACTTTAATATTTATGTGGAAAGGATATGAAAGTCAGGAAGCCTTTCTTTTTGGTGCAGGTTTGTTTAAGAAGGAAATGTCAGAGCTGATTGTGCATTACTTAGCCACATGGAGAGAGAGTGTTTAATGAGAAGAATAAACAGAATCATTAAGCCATGCTAGGATAGATTATTAAGGAAATTCCAATATAGCTAATGCTTTGTAAAAACAAAGGAAGAGTTATATAAAGCTGTACAGGCAAAGCATGACAGTCAGATTACTTGTTTGCTAAGAGTTTCACATTAAAACATGCCAAATCTATTCTTGTTACTCTTGCTTCAGATTTTAATAATCACATTTCTCTAGATAGTTTCAGTATACTTGGAGACCTTTATGTCTAGTTTTAGCTTTCTATAGTTTATTCTCCATAAACCATCTAGTGAACTTCCTACTAGGTAGTTCCCCTTATTATCCCTCTTTTTTTGTAGTATGCATTTTTACTATATATATATCTTACATAAATAGTATATCTAGATTATAGACAAGATACTGTTTATAATTCTTTTTTCAAACCTAGGAACCTGCCACAGAGGGCCTCTGAAAGCCTCTGCCCTGCAGAATATCAAAGCAGATGCTGAGCCTGATGGCCAACTGTCAGGCAGAGTGAATGGAATTTTATGTAAGAAGTGGGAAATAGTAAGAGTTGGAGAGGACAGGAACTCCACAGGAGAGCAACAGAACAAGAAAATTTGAACACAGGGAACTTCCCAGAGACTCATACTCCAACCAAGGACTATTCATGGAGATAACCTAGAACCCCTGCACAGATGTAGCCCATGGCAGTTCAGTGTCCAAGTGTGTCCAAGTGGGTTACATAGTAATGGGAAGAGGGACTGCCTCTGACATAATCTGATTGGCCTGCTCTTTGAGCACCTCCCCTGAGGTGGGGAGCAGCCTTACCAGGCCACAGAAGATGACAATGCAGCCACTTCTGATGAGAACTGATAGACTAAGATCAGAAAGAAGGAGAGGAGGACCTCCCCTATCAGTGGACTTGTGGAAGGGCATGCATGCAGAAAGGGGAGGGAGGGTGGGATCAGGGGGGGAGGAGGGACGGGCTTATGGATAATGAATAAAATGAATAAAGTGTAATTAATAAAAGTTAAATAAAAAATTAAATAAATAATTCTTGTTTTCAGAGATCAAATCTATTTTACAGAAGTGTGGAGGAAAAGAGTCTATTATATTTACAGAGGCCTTTGCTATTCCTATTTACCCTTTCTTTTAGTGGTCTTCATTTCTAAAAGAGGTTTTCTGTGAATATGAAGTTCTGAGTTGAAATTTATTTTTTTTCAGCACCTCATGAATATTGTCTCAATTCCTTCTGGACTCAACGAGGCAGCTGTTATCATCTGAAAAAACGTTTCTCTAAAAGTCATTTGTCTCCTTCAATGATATTTTCTTGTCTATAGTTTTCAGTAGTTGGAAAATGATAGTTCTGAATATGTATTGTTTTCTTGTTTAAATTTTCTGCATTTCTTTAATCTAAAACGTATGTCTTTTCTCTAAATGTGTATATTTTTTTTTTACTTTATTTACCCAATGATTTTTTAAAAAGAATGATTTCTCAAAAATTTTATCAATGTAATCTTATCTCTAAGACTAGGATAATACAAAAATTAATTCTGTTTTATAGCTTCAACAGAGGTTTCAGTTTCTTTTTTCAGTTTACTTTACATCCAAAGGGTGCCCCATCCTTCCTCTCCTCCCAGTCCCTCCTCCCTCTCTCTCCTACCCCCTTCAGCCTTCTCCTTTATCTCTGCAGAAAAGGGAGGCTACACCCCATCCCTATACCAACCCTCCCCAGCACTTCAAGTCACATCAGAACTGAGCATATCCTCATCCACTGAGGCCAGGCAAGGCAGTGCTGTCAGGGGAAAGCTATCCAAAAGCAGGCAATACAGCCAGTGTTAGAAACAGCTTCACTTCCATCCACTGGCCAGGAACCCCACAAATGTGCAGGTGCCCTAAGTGCTGACCATGCATACAGACTTTAGTTGGTGTCTCAATCTCTGTAAGCTCCCATGGGACCAATCTCTGTTGGTCTTCTTGTGAGGTTCCTGTGCCCTCCAAGTCCTTCCATCTTTCCAACAACACTTACAAAGTACCCCTGGAGCTCTGTTCCATGCTTGTTTGCAAGTTCCAGCATTTGTTTTGATCCATTCGTTGGCTGGAGTCTCCCAAAGGACAGTCAAGTTAGGCTCCTGTCTGCAAGCATAGCAGAGCATCATTAATAGTGTCAGGAGCTGGCTGGGGTGGGTCTCAGGTTGGGCCAATCATTAGTTAGATACTTATTCAGTCTTTGTTCCCTTTCTATTCCTGCACTTCTTGTAGTCAG